GACCCAGGTTCACTGCATGTGAGCAAGACCCTGCCCACTGTCCTATTGCTTTGGTTCCCTCCTTTCTGTGTCTTTATGTGTTTTTATGCCTGTAGGAGAGCAGTACTCAGGAGACTTGAGGCCACTCCTAACTATTTTTAATTAGCCAGGCGGTTTGGTGGAAGAGCTGGAGGATGCGGTGCTGTTTGGCATTTCTTGAGCCATCCCAGTGGTGCTCAGAGACTCTGGGGCCACATCCATTGGTGCTGGACATCCTCTAGGGCCGCACTCAGAGATGCTCAATGGAACATGTGGTGCTAATGACAGAACCAGGGTCAGCTGCATGCAAGGCATACAGTACTCTCTCTCGCTCCTTTCCTTTTGCAACTTAAGGCTGGCTATATTTCATTTAATTATGAAAATGAGATTAAAATAGTTACTGGAGACTAGAAGAAAATTACATTAAAAACATCATATTTCACATATATTTTTTTTTGGTCCATTTCTCCCTAGTGGTAAAAATCCTATCAGGGACTAGTAAGTGAAGATTAAGTGTTTTCTTGCCACCGCCCACCATAGAAACAAACCCTAAACTAGCTTCGTTTCTTGCACTGTCTTTATGACTTGGAATGAATTGAGATTTTTAATTTTTTTTTCTGGTGAAATATGAACCAGATCTGCTATTTCCCTGAATAGACAGAACCAAGATTGATGTGAAATTCCCTGGGAAACTGCTGCTAAGTTTTTGTTGTGTCACTTATGAAAGGTCTATAGTTGATAACATTAGAACAACTATAACAAAATTATTTTCTTTCTTTTTCTTTTCCTCAAGAGATTTAGGTAGAAATAAAATTTGGGAAAGCCAAAGCAATAGCACAGTAGAATAGGGCACTTACCTTGCACTCAGCTGACCTGGATTTAATCCCTGACATCTCCTGGGCCCTGCCAGGAGTGAACTCTGAGCACTGAGCCAGGAGTAAATCTGCCAGGTATGGTCCAAAAAGAAAAAAGAAATTTGAGAAAATACTAGTGTAGCTTGATGTTCTGTTCTTCTCCTGTTTTTAAGTTTAATCAACATGCATACCTATAATGGTAAAAGAAAAACTGTGATAAAGAAAACAAAGTATTAGGCAAGATAAAAACAAACTAAGATAGAATTTGTTTATATAATTTTCTAAAGATACCTTGTTTATAATTACACAATTGATGCTAATAATTTTTTTCTCTCCAAGTGAGGGTAATGTCTAAATGACAAAATTAGTGATACTATCCAGCATGCTAATCTTTCATTTTTAAGATAGGTGTAATTCTTATTCCCTTTTAATAGATAGGAAGGTAAACATTTAAATTGTTCAGTGACCTGCCCACAATTACATTTAGGTGGTGGAGTCTGGAGTTTGAGCTCTGAGCCTCTATTAATTCTGATACTGATATTTGGGTCACTAAGGACAGGGGTCCTATTCAGATAATTCTTCCTTCATTATGTGCTACGGGTTAAATAGCTAGATCTCACTTCCTACATCCACAGTTTGAAATAGTACTTGACAAGCTTCTGCAAAGCTATTCAAATCTAAGAGACTAAAAGTACAGAATATATAGCTTTGAGATTTCTTGTACCCATTGGCTGGTTCTTTGCAGCTAAAATATCTATTTTTTTAAAAAGCTATCTTATGCACTCTCTGAGGCAAATTCAGATACTGCTTCATTTTCTCTTCAAATTTTATTTGCACTCCTGCATGCATGAAGTTGCTCATACTGCTTAGTTGAATGGGTAACGAAAGAGATAAGGACAGATTTGATATCACATGACAAAGATCCCCAAATGAAATATCTTGAACTGATCAATGACTTGGGGTTTTATTTACTCAGAAAAATTCATTCCTTAAGTACAGACTGAGGAGATCAATATGGATCGAGACTTCTGCTTCCAGGAAGATGAACAGACACTCTTTTATTTTTATTTTTTAAAAAAGTTTCTCCAACTAAATTTGCTAATAACACAGGATATGATGTAAAAGACAAGCATTAAATTCTTTAAAATAGACAGAAATAAACTAGCAAGGAATTGTAGGAATAGAAGAAGCTAAAAAATGAGAACTTTTTTTTTTTTTTACCTCATAGTATATCTCTACTAGAGAAGCCAACCACCAGAAATGCCAATGGACTCAGACACATACATAGGACAGTGGAGACCGTGTGTGGAATCCAGACTTCTAATACCAGTCAGGAAGGTACCCCAGTCAGTGTTGGTAGGGAGAACCGGGCGAGGGGTGCTGCAATGAAGGTGGCCTCTTACCCTCTGGACTTCTCTATCGATCTGGCAGTACTGAAAATGCATCTTCCTTTCCCAGAAGGGATAAGAATCAGAGGATATGAGATTTTAAAATGATATTCTGAGGTTTTATTGCTTTTTGGTCCAAACCAGGTAATGCTCAGGGATAACTCCTGGCTCTGCATTCATAATCACTCCTGGTAGACTCAAGACCATGAGATGCCCGGGACTGAATCCGAAATGGCCATGCACGAGGCAAGCATCCTACCCACTGTACTATGGCTTAGGTCCCGATATCCTGAATTTTTAATCTTAATTTGACTGAGAAAAAAACAATCAGTAGGTCCCATAGATATGAAATGGCAAGAGTGTTAGAATCATTTGTGAAGAATTTTGATGGAGCCACCATAAATCTGTTGCAGTAAACAAAATGAGGTTATAAAGAAAACAAATGAAAAACTTCTAACAGAAACACAGAGAAGCGGAATCAGTTAATTTGGAGACTGGAACAAAACCTTAATGGGCAAAGGAGACTAGAGAGGTAGGGGAAAAAAAGGATCTAATATCTAGGTCACTGGAGTTGCAGAAGAAAATAAGAAAAAAGCATAGCTCTGAAAGAGCATTGGAAAAAGTAACGGTAGGACATTTCCTAAACTTGGAAAGACACAGACATAAACTTAGATTCCTAACTCCAACAGCAAAGAATTTCATGCCAAGACACACCACAGTTACATTTCTGAAACAAAGGATAAAAACCATCTTGAAAGCAACCAGAAAGAAAGCATGTTTTTTTTGTTTTGTTTTTGACAGGTGAGGCTAGTGACAAAAATTTTTCAGAAAATAAAAAGTTAAGGACTTTTGCCCTGGAATTTTTAAAAGGATTTAAGCAAGCTTCACCATGTAGACACTACATTTATAAGGCATCCACATCTACACTAGTAAGAAGTCAGAAATTGTGTTGGGTACCTGAGGGGCATAAGGTTATCAATCCCATTCTTCCCATAAAGGATCCATGCAAGTATTGTCCCTCAAAGCAAATAAAAGAATTCCAGTATTGGAAAGAGCCTCAAAATCAAAAACCCCAAACACAAACACATCACTTGAACAAAAACTTTTAATTTGGTTTCCTGACTGCACTTCAGTTCTGTGACATTAATCAATCTAAAACCCTTTTTAGCATGCATGTTCATTTTTATAGGAAAGAATCAGCAGGGTTTTTCAAGAGTTATTGGCCCCCCAATAAAAGACAAAAGTCATAAATTTCACTTAGGTAAAAATTAGGCTCTTGTTAGAGATGTTCTCTACTATGTTTATGGAAATTCCTCAAAGTCATTTTTATAATTCCCTCAACTTTTACAGGGAAAAATATCAGGTTTTAATTCTTTCTAGGCACTTTTGGAAATACCTGCTCATTAAAAGAATGTTTGCCTGTAGTCTTATTTTGAACATTTTAAAAATAGTACCTGGAGGTGACTAAATGACTAATGCACTGTGATTTAAAATGTATTTTAGGTTTGATTTCTTCCAATACCAACGGAAAAGTTCAGTCATAAAAGACGTCAACTTCCCCTTATCAGTACCCATGGGTTAGTTTGTAAGGGACAGGACAACTATCTACCAATCTGCATTCCTTTTTATAGCTGAAGAAAAAACAAACAAAAAAAAAAGGCATGAATTTTAAGTTCTATTCTTTACAGTCTACAAAGACCAATTTATCAAAACAAAAACAACAAAAGCTGAGATTTATTTCTTTGTAAAAAAGCAAAACCAATTATTAGAAAAAGATTCACTTTCTATGTCTTTATAACTTGGCTGTGCCTCATTCATTTGACCCTCTATTACGTCTCTCATGCTCACCAGGTTCTGAGTTGTGTTCTGTAAACTGGAGTTTCTGAGATGTGTTCTGTAAACTCGAGTTTTAGATTGCTGCTGCTTGTTTTTCTGATAGAAATTAAGGCTCCCAACATTATTTAAATAATGCTAGAGTCTAAAAAGCTAGAGATTGAATTTCATTGTTTTAGAAAAAAGCAAAAACCAAACACCTGATTACCTGGTTTTGAGGAAGACCTGAAAGTGCTTTAATTTAGACTACTCTTGCTGACTGCACCTAAAGAATCCAAACAATCATTGGAGGTCCTTTGAGTTCTAGGCTCCGGCCTATGATAATACAATCAGGAAAGGGATTTGGCATCCCCAAAGTATTAATAAAGTGTCAGGCCTGATCCTTGGGCTGATAAATTACAGCAGTTTTCTTAGACTTTAATGTGCACACCAATTATTCTGTGCTCTAAGAACAAAATCAAATACTGATCAATTGGCCTCGGTGGACTTGATAGTTCTACATTTCTAACAAGTATCCTGCTGGTGGCTTGAGGATACTTCAGGGAAAAGATAAGAACGAGGATGTCCCAATCCATCTAGCTGGCTTCTGTACAACAGTATAGGCCATTACACTTTCCTTCTGTATCCAAGGATTTTCTAGCAGGGGTTTCTCCCATGGTAATGATGCTCATTTCTAATTTTCCACTGGCTGTGTTTCTTCAAGTTAGTGTGACTAGAGGCCAGAGAGATAGTGTAGTGGGTAGGCCATTTACCTTGTGTGCACCCAATCAGGTTTGATCCCCGGCATCCATATGGTCCCCCAGAGCACCACCAGGAATAATCCCTGAGTGCAGAGACCGGAGTAAGCCTTGAACATCGCTGGGCATGGCCCCTCGAACCAAAAACTTAAAAGCAACAAGCTAGAGTGATCACTACAAGTAAGGCATCTTGCCCTTTTTCATTTAGGTAATATAAAAGTCCACACGAAGATGAAAAACAGCTTGAAATGAACAGAAATGGACAATGCACATTAGTATACAAGACAATGGGCCTATATTTAATACATTATGTCTCACCACGAGATGTTGTTATTAAAAAGTCTATTTTTTCCTAAGATTAAATGTCTTCATTTCACTATTAATATAAACAATTTCTCTCCTTCATTGTCTGATACACTGAATACATTTTTCTAAATTTACCCCTCCACCCCCATATATTTAAGTAACTTTAAATTTTTCACCTAGTGTATTTGATATCTAAACACAGTATTAACCTGGGAAATAAAAAAGAAAACACTTAATAAAATTATGGAGAAAAGACTCCAAGAATTCAGGAGGCAGTGATTATAACAGATATGTGGTTTTCTAGGAATCTGAGCAGATTTCCTTCTTCCTATATTATTTGCTTTGAGAATCTTGAAACTGTGAAATATTACCTATGTAAATTTCAGTGATGTTACATTTTCGACTCACCTTCTACCTAGCAAATACAAATTATAGGCTGCATTTTACTAGTGCAGTATTTCTTGTGGGGAAAAAAAAAATGCCCTGCCCATTTAACCGGTAACAATGTGTTCCCATTTCTAAGGAAACAATTACGATTGTCAAACTAGCCTATTTACTGTTTCTTGGGAACCTTTAAACACCAGCGCTCATTTTTAATTTTAAGGGCACAAAGGGTTTTGGAGCAAGGTTTGATTCAGGAGGCCCTCCAAAGTCATATTTGTCCATTTCTCTTGCGTGCATAGACTCCCAAACAAGCACAGATGCCTGTAATGCTGAGCACCACACCCAGCAAGAGGGCAATTGCATCTCCGGCTTCCACTGCTTCAACCATGGGCAGCACCGAAAGCAGTGAAATGAGGACTATGACCCACTGGGTGGAAACTGAGGTCATGATGAGCTCTGGAGCTGTCCTCTTACTCTTGAGAGCTGACGGTTTCTAGAAATTAAATAACAAACAAAGGAACCACGATAAATGCCTGCCTTTCCAAAGGAGCATTTGAATACGTGACAAATAACCATCCGCCCATGCTCTTAAAAACCATCCCTCTCCCTACCCCTCCCCACCCCCACTGCCAGCAACTCCAGTCATTTCCCCACACTGTACAATGGCAACACTGAACCAAGCAGTTGCGGAACACAAAAAAAAACCACACTAAAACTGCACACTCGGACCTACTCACTTAGAAACTTGAACTCTCCCAGTGAGTTAAAAAAAAAAAAAATCGCATTTCCTTAGGGTTTTCCCAACTCAGGAAATGCAGACGAATCAGACAAAAGTTACACAACATGTAACTCGGTGAGGTTGTGGGCAATCAGTAAAACTTACCAAAGAAAGGGTGCAAAGATAACTTCTGACTTGAAATACCCCTTTCCTGAAGCTCCGGATGCTGAAAACTAAGAGGTTCCACACGCCAGCGCCTATTCTCCAAGGAGAAAAGGAGTGAAAATGAATCACCGACATTTTTAGGATGTTTAAGAGGCCCCTAAAACCCGTGCAGGGGCGTGGAAAGTGCACGGAGGGGAGAGGCACAAGTAATGCAGAGCAGTTTGTCTAACTAGGGGAAGGAGTTGGTCCCTCTACCCACCCGGGGAAAGAGAAACCGTTTCAAAACCCACGCACGGCTTTCTTCCTGAACTTGAATGGAAGGTTGGAGTAAAGCATCCTTATCGTGGCAAGATGCAAAAGTTCCCCCAGCTATACAAAGGCCCCGGGACATTCTCTCAAGACCCTCTGGAACCGAGTTCGCACAATACCTTCCAGGAAGCGGCCATTACCAGAATGGCGGGGGAGGGCGGAGCCTTCGAACTACAACTCCCGTCACGCCCCGCGCCGCCCTCCCAGCATGCATCAGTGCTCGGCGTCAGTGGCGCAGGGAGCCTGCGACGTTCGAGTTTCCGGGGAGAGCGAGGGGAGGAGGAGGAGCAGGCCCTGCGGCTGCTCCGCAGCTTTGAGTGCTTTAGTGCGACAAACTCGAAGAGCATGTGTTTTTATTGCCGTGACGATTTCAACACAGTATTGTGTCTTTGTAACAGCGGGAGCTCTCCCGGGCGAACAGTTTGTTAACGGTTGCTTCCAAGGTGTTTGGATTTTTTTTTTTTTTGAAGCAGGGGGATTCCCTGCTACCGCCCTCAAGTGTCTCATGACTTTTGTTCATTCCTTTAGCCCACTGGAGCGGGGAGGGTGCACGTTTAATATAAGACGTTTTGGAAAAAAAAAAATTGTTCAGATCATTTGTAGGGCGAAACAGGAATTTAGGATGAAGTGGTTTAAGCTTCAGGGTTCAACTTCTGGAGCTTCCCTATGAACTCATAGATGAGGAATGTAGTTGTACACCAGTGCGTGTAGTATATCGTGTACTCCATCATGTTTTGATGATACCAGCTTCAGTGTTTGCAAATGCTTACAAAAGGGGTGTCAAAATATAACAGTTTATAAGGCATAAATAATTTGAAAATGTCAGGTTTTTTCTTTGTTTTTGTTTTTGCAGTGCTAGGGGTGGCATCCAGAATCTACAGGTGCAAGGCGAGTGTTCTTCCTCATTTGTCTTCAGGTTCTTCAATTTGAGTCATAGGCTTTTCCAAAAGACTAAAATTTGTCTGATGTCTGTGTGGTCTCGGCAGGGCCTTTCCAGCTGCCTGGTTTCCCGAACTTTACCGTGTTCTGGTGACTGTGAAGTGGGTTAGTGATAAGGTCACCCGCGCGTTGTGTGAGTTTCTCCGGCGCATTCAGAGACCATCTCCAGATGGAGCCTGGGTATCCTATTCAAGGCTTCTCTTGTATGGCTCGTGATTCTGAATCCGTCTAGGCCCACAGCACAAACTTTTCTCTTGCTGACTCATCCAGCAGATATTTATTTGTATAAAATAAAATTAAGCAGTAATGTCTATTTCAATAAATTCATGGGCAAACAGTTCTGGAGAGAACTAGTGAAGAAGAAAACCGAGGTGTCTTGCAAATAGCACACTGAGGATCACCACACAAATGTTTCAGTATCATTTCCTCTAAACTTGATCATTTTAACAAGGTCTCATTTGCGTTGAACTTTTTTTTTTTGCTTTTACAATCAATTAATATTTGAAATAAGAGCTCTTTATTGTTACAGCTTCCAAGATTCTCTTGTATTCTAACATGAGCATTTGAGGCCTTTACATTTTCCCTTAATATTTAATTACGTTTGAAAAATCACTTTCATTACTACAGACTTTTTTCCGGTTGTCAGCATTGAAGCTAATGGTTTAGTTTTAAATTTGAAAAGCTTGTGGGTAATAAGATGATTTTTATATAAGTTTTAACATTAATGGATCAATTAATGATCTGGCCATGTGGAACAAATTGGCTGAAGTTTGTTCAGACTTGTTTTGGACATGAGTAGTTCCAAAATCAAATCAGTTATCCTTTTTTCTTACCAAAATACACCCTAATCAGGCAATTTAATAAATCTGTTGCTGCTTATACTTTTGTGCACCATATCGTAGTCCTACTTCCCAACTAGAATAGTATCCTAGTTCTCTGTTTTCTCTTACCACTACCCAAAACAGTAATTATAAAAATTAGGTCATTTATTTCTCTCTGAAAAGTGATTCCATACCACTACGTTAAGCAGAAATCCTTACTGCTTGTCAAGATACCCAAACCCTATACATTGGTCTCTGTCTACCTCTCTGATATCAGCCTACCATTCTCTTGTAATCAAGTTTACCTTTTGCTCTTAAGTATGTCCTTTTGTTGTTTTTGATTTTGAGATTACTGTTGGATAGTAATGCCCTTCAAGAGTAATGCCTTTCTTATTAAGTGCTTCCACATTACAGTATTTTCAACATCAGGACTTTTCTCAAATGTTACTTCTTCCCCTTAATACTTCAAAAAAATGTCTCTCTCATTACCGCCTATTGAGAAAGGAGACCAGAAGGAAGGAAAGATTTTTAATCACGGTGTAACACTGTTGAGACTGGGGGCAAGAGGAGAACACTCTTGTACTATATATTCCCCCTTATAATGGCAATCATTAATTATAATTATTATATATCTGTTTATATGTATAGTAAACATATACTGTAATACTGTTAGCACTGTCCTCCCGTTGTTCCTCAGTTTGTTCGAGCAGGCACCAGTAACATCTGAATTGTGAGACTTGTTACTGTTTTTGGCATATTGAATATGCCAGGGGGAGCTTGCCAGGCGCGCTATGTCTGGGCAGGGTGAAGTCAGAGGAAACTCTGGTTGGAGGTCCGTAGCGGTCCTGAAGTACAAATCGGGTGTCTGACCTGGGTATAGGGGCAAAAGACTAATTGAACCATCTAGTAGCTGGTTCCCTCTGAAGTTTCCCTCAGGATAGCTGGCACTCTCACTCGTATGACCACTCAACGCAGTTTTATCTGGTAAAGAAAATGATTAGATATCTTGGAGACGAAAGGAAACTTATACGTTAGGTTGAAAATTCTAAGAGAGTTAGGAAATTTTTCTCTTATCATACTAAGTTATCAACTACTAGACATTTTTGTAAGTGTTTTGTGAATAAATGAAGTTTGTTTAAGATCAGAATTTGGTTATTATGCAGTCAATATTATACTATTCATGATAGAGATCACTTTATAAACAGGAAAACTACTATTAGTACAAACTAGTAAGATGTTTAGACTAAGGTTATTTTTAGTTTTCATGCAAAATTTCAGTCTTACAAATTTCCCTCATAATATTAAAATAAAACTACATCTTGTGTACGTAAGACACAATAGCATATAAACAGGAACTTTATAGTTCAGAAACTTGTTTATAATTGTTCTACTTCCTGGGTCCACTTGGGGTAAGTGTTGATTAAGTCCACTTGGATCAAGTGTTTTTTTCTTAAGAATTCATCAATTGTTTTTTTCTGAGCACTAATTACTAGTGGATGAGCAGTATTGGCAGTTTTGGTGGGATAGTGCTTTGTTGTGAAGATAAAATATTATAGTATAATTAGCATAACTAGATCATGCCAACTAAATGCCAATAGGATCTCAGTAGGAAGATAATCAGCTACCGTAACATACTCCTAAGCATTCTTTGGTAGTGGATTCTGTCCCTATTTGAGGACTGTCCAAAATTTCATCAAGAAAATAAAAGAATTAGTTTAAAACAAATAAAACAGCAGATAGTTCACCACATGCCTGTGTGAGTATACACAAAAACCTCAAAAACATTGTGTAATGGAAAGTATGGATGATCTTCTTCACTTATGCCACTTACATGATACTTAGCAAGTCTCTTCTATATCCTATCAAAATCCCTCCCAGGCAACATTCTCTGCTAATTTTCTGAGAGCAGAAAACTGATATTCAGATAAAGGTGAGATTGATCCTTCTGTATCTGCCATTCAGAGCAGTCTTCAAGCTACGGAAAAATGATGTGATGTAGCTTGTGAAACATTATCTTTTTCTCTTGTCAGTTTATGGATTGGGGTAGTTACTTGTTCTAAGAAAGTTTACTTTCACAAAATATATTGTGTAAAGATGAAATGTTTATGAAATGAATAAAAAAAACTGTCGCCACAATACAATAGTTTTCATTGTTTGTATTTCTATTCCTGACTAGTGGTTAAGATTTAGGATTGGGGCATGGCATGTCTTAGGTTCTAGGTTCAATTCCTAGCATTCCAAAAGGTAAGTATTTAGGGTTTCTGAGACCACTTGCTTTGTTAGGATTCTGTCTCTGCTGCTTACTAAATATCTGACAATAGAGAAATTAATCAAGTTTTGTGAGAATCAAATTATCTATCTATAAAATGGGTTTATAAGTACCAACTTCTCATGCATATTTTGAGGATTTAATGAGTGAATTTCTGAAATTAGAGACTGGCATATAGTTATTTCTCATTAAATATTGATGATAGCTACTATTTTCTATTAATTTAACCCATAAAGCATGGGGTATCCAGCATATTACTTTTCTATGGAATCATGCTCTTCTGTAGATACACATAGTACATAAAAATGTATGTGGAACCCTTGTCTTTTTGAGGGCTTGTCTATATAGGGCATATGAGGGCTCCTAGGCTTCCAGTTGAGGGATAACTGGAAAGTATTCTAGTTATTCAAAAGCTACGGTAATAGCACAGCGGTAGGGCGTTTGCCTTGCACGCAGCCAACATGGCCGACCCCAGTTCGATTCCTCCGCCCCTCTCAGAGAGCCCGGCAATCTACCGAGAGTATCTCGCCCGCACAGCAGAGCTTGGCAAGCTACCCGTGACGTATTCGATATGCCAAACACAGTAACAACAAAGTCTCCAATGGAGACGTTACTGGGCCCGCTCGAGCAAATCGACGAACAATGGGAGGACCATGACCGTGACAGTAGAAATATATCTACTTGACTTGATAAGATTCTGTTTGACTATTTCATATCCACTGGTAATTTTATTTATGTTTAAAACAATTTTCTCCATCAGCAATTTACACTGGTACGAATATAGACAATATGGTTATCAAAGTGTAGATATAGATACGTAGCCTCAAGAAACCATTCAACTGGGATAATCTCTAGGGCCACCTAAACAAAACCCAAAAACATTATTAATTCCTTTTGAATTCAGCTCTCATTATAGTAGCTATACATAATATAGAACTGCTTCCCCCATAAATTGCAGTGAGGGAAAAGATAGTATTAGCTTTGTTAAAAGGGAATTATAATGAGTTTATATATTATTCTTGTAAAAATGAAAATTGACATTGATATATAGCATGCCAATTTTAGAAATAAACCATAATTAACTGACCACTTTAATACTACATAGTATTAAT